AGTCCTAAAATTAAACTAGCAAAATAATAATAAACAGAGCTTTTTTTTTTATTTCATTCAAGAACCAATTCAACCAGTGTGCATTAATCAACAAGTCAAGCATTAATAAGAGTATTAAATTAGATTATAAAAAAATACACTGCAAAAAATGTTTTAAAAATATACAAAAAATTATAATCATTAGATTTCAGTGCTACAAAGCTGTGACGGAACTCTTGGAAGGTGAGCGTTTGTTTTGTTTGTGTCAGATCAGTAGCTGGCTCCACCCACACACTCACTCCATATATGGGCAGAGCTGAAGGAGGAAGTCATGTGACCTGCAGCTTGTGTTGAGATGGAGAAATGAAGAACTGAACAAATGGAGAAATGGAGAATAAAAGAGCAGGATGCACAAGAGATCGAGCTCTGGAAGAAAAGAAAAGAAATGACAGTGAACAAAACAAGGGAGAGAGAGTGAGAAAGAATACTAAAGACAATAATGGAGAAAGTAAAAGCAGAACTAAAGTTTAGATGAAAACAGAATCTATAAAAGTAAGATCAGCAGAGGATAAAATTACATCAGCAGCTAATGAGAAAGAATTTAAGGCACATAATGAACTACATTCATAACATGTTCTGGGTCATTCCTGTTGTACAGTATTTTCATGTCCTCATTATGGGTCTTAACATACTAAATAAAATATTAAACTCAGTATAAACCTAATCATTTTAAAGATAAAATCGTGTTTTGTCACAACTACTATCACAACAGGGAATGGTAAATAAACAAAAATATATTTACATTTACTGCTATACATACAAATACAGTATTATTATTAATACTAAATTGGGAGTACATTGAATTTTAAATAGCCTAAACCTTAGTTTAAGCAGATATTATTTTTGCAGTGCATTATACACTTCAAAAATAATAATTAAAAACATTAAAACAAATAAAAACATTACCAATTTTTCCTGCATCCTGTTTCTCTAATCAAAATATTTCAAACAAAATTTCTCGTTTACTTGAGAAAACTGTTTTTATTAGCAATTAATATATTGTTGTTTTTCCTGCATGAGTTCTCAATATCACAATCTATCCTGTTAGCCTTTTGTAAAATTCTTTTAACTTACAAAACTGGCAAGCTGAAAAAAGTATTAAGAAGGGATTTTACTGCTATTAGTTGGTTTGCGTTACTAAAACATTTTGTCTTTATTAATAAACTACAAAAATGTTAAAAGAATATAAAAAATAGATATTAAATTAACTTCAATTGACACATTCATGTACACAAACGTTGTGTAAATCAAATTATAATTAATAGTGTAAAGTGCTTCCTTAACTTGCTTAAATGACAACACAAACGTATACAGTTTTTACGTTACAGAGCACAAACATTCTGCATAACAGGAATGAGCATAAATGTATGCATCCACTACAGGTCTCATAATCCTGTGATTGTAAACCTGAATTATCCATCTTAGATCAAAGATTTTACACCCCAATATATAATATAAGATACTTGTCAGCTTGCTTGATTTAAAGAAGTCTAAGTATTAGTTTCTTCTTAAATCTGTTTAAAAATGTCGATTTCACATAATAAACATTTCCAGCTTTCATTATTTACTGTGTAAAATAAGTGCCAATTTGAGGGACTGTGCATCTCATCTGCTATCATATATTTCATCCTGCACTCTAGATATCAGTATTGGCATCAGCAGTTAAAAAACAAAGGGATGGAGCACAGGATGAGGAGAGCAGCATGTATGTTAGAGGAGGAGTAAGATCTGTGCAGCAGTGAGAGGAGGAGTCTGGATGAGAGCTTAATCTCACTAGGGGCCCAGAGAAACCTCACAACACACACACACACACACATTTAACTAGCTATGGAAATAAGGACATACCGCAGAACCCATCCCTAAAAGAACAGCATTTCTATAATTAAAAAATATAATGTATGCTACAAATCATTTTTCCAGTTAAACTTGTCCTCAGTTGTCCTCAAAGGGAGATTTTGCACATTTCTAGACATAAATTTGCCTTTAGGCTATAGTAAAGTGAGAAATAAGTGTAAATGCTGATTACATATTTAAGAACTTCAACCTGTCAGTTCATTCATACAATTTTTATTTTATACACACTTAAAAATAAAGGTTCTTTATTGGCATTGATGGTTCCGTGAAGAACCTTTAACATCCATGAAACATTTCGATTACTCCAAAGGTTCTTTAAAGTGAAAATAAAATGTTCTTCACACTAAGGAAAAAAAAAGTTCTTTTTAGAACTGTTCACTGAAAGGTTCTTTTGGGAACCCAAAATGATTCTTCTATGGCACTGCGGTGCAAAACCCTTTATTTTTTAAGTGTATTTATTTTTACAATTACAACCTCTTGAGCTATAATACAATCTGGTATCGTAGCTCAGTGTAATTGACTACTTTTAACCAACAACCTATAGAGGTCAATATACAAGATAAAATGTACAAGTTCAAATTCAAAGTAATAAAGATAAAACTATTTATATCAATAACAGTTTTTGATAAACATTTCTCATAAAGGGAAATGACATTTTGTCAGATTTAGTTCACATCTGGAGATCAATTTGTGCAAACTATAGCAAAGTGAGCAACAGATATAAAAGGCACAACTTCACAAACAAAATAAAGAAATAAAGGTTCCAAAAACAACAATACCAAAGCACTGTAAAAAAAAAAAGAAAGTAATTCAAATTTAAAACTTCAGTCTCTGCCTTAAAATTGTAAGTATCATCAAACGGGCTCTACGAGTTACTTCAACTCAGTTTTTAAAATCTCGCCTAGTTGAATCTCATATAACTTGCCATGACTTACTGATCATACCATTTCAGAAGAACAACGCCAAAGAACCTTTCAGTAAACGGTTCTTAAAATAACCATTTTTACCTGACATTTTAAAAACCTTTTTCCACTTTAAAGAACTTTTTGTGCAATGGAAAGGGTTCATTGATGTTAAAGGTTCTTGTACAACCATCAAAGCCAATAAAGAACCTTTATTTTTAATAGTGTATATAGAAACACATGAAATGATCGAGTCATACACAGTGACACATTTATAAACAACAACATGCATTCGTGCGGTTAGACTAACACACGCACAAACACTGCAGGAGGTGCAGCATTCAGAAAAATCAAACACAAAGCTCCTAATGAAACACACACACACACACACACACTGCAGTGCGTTGATTCAGAGTGTGAGGGCCAGCCAAAGCCACGCCTCCTTTCCCTTTTTTGTCTTTAACGAAA